TATATGGTTGAATGCTTTTATCCCATATTTAACAAGGAGTTTGAAACTATAAAAAAATTATTGATTTGCTGCATGTCAGAGAAGTGTTCTTTGCTTTATTCTGATGGGATTTATGTTAAGTGCAGGGGAGTTTTGTGCTCTGCATGAAGAATCACAAATCAGTGATGGTGGATGATGAGGAGATTCCTTTTACTGTATGTATAAGTATTCAATGGGGTCCTGCAAAAATTCTTGATTTCCTCCATGTCATATGCTCTTTATCTAAGTGTAACTGTTCCCCAGCAGCTCATGGTCTGTGGGTCAGCACAAGTCCACATTATTATTTTTTTTGCTGGTCTGTGGGGAATTTTTTTGAGTAGGAAGAAATTTATCAAAAGTGACAATAAATGAACAATGGCATGCCATATAAAGTGTTGCAAAAATTTATATAATCTCACTTACCTTGCCCATTTGCAATGTCAACAGCTGCAGCTGTTTTTATCATATTCAGCACAATAATTCTGCACTCAACATATAAACCAAGAAATTTACTTCACAATATTTGTCACTCTGATTGTGTACAGTAGTTCTGCAACACCTAGAAAAGCAATATTTTATGCAGCTGGCACGTTTTTTGGGTTGATTACACAATATAGCTTTGGGTAAGATGAATTGGTTGCTGCACAGCATCAAGCTGATGATGATTTTAAATGGTCTTGACAATGTTCTGATAACACTTGAAAGCTTGGATTTGATAAAATTAATATTTGATACAGGTGGTACATTGCACTTTGACCATCCAACAATTTGGCAATCAAATTTGCAAGGATGTTGACTTAAAATTTGACCATTGCCCCTGAATTTCACCTGCTTTGGACACTCATTTTTTGTTCTTATATTTTTGAATTTCACCAAGTGTCTTGGAATTCAACTGCTTTGCATTTCAACTATAGCTTGGCAACAAATTAGGGTAAAATTGTCTGGTACCAGCTGTACCAAGAAAAAATCCTGATTTTTTTTTGTGGCCATATGTTTATACTGTGCAATTCTTCCAAATTCTAGGGTTCCATAACTTTATTTGAACCATTGTTTTTACTTCTATATATAAGGACTCCAATCCATGTGCTAAGAACTGAAAGGAAAATAACTAAAAGATCTGTTGTTGCAGAAGTACGAATGTTTTTATTAATGTTAAAAAACATTTTTCATCATGATCATAGAAACTGATGAAAATATTGTACATCAATAAATGAGAACAAATCAAAGCCTCAGAAGTGTCAGAAAATATACACATCAATCACTTATTCAAAGTACTAAAAGAAAATATTGAAATGTGAATTATCACAATAATTTCAAAATTTCAGATCTTAATGAGGCTGCAAAGAATCTCCTCCACAACACATACAGCAATCATGTACAATAAAAAACAAGAAATTAAAAGTGAATGCATGAACAAATGAAAACTTCTTTTTTGAGATAGGTTCCTATACATTGTGATCTGTGAGAATAAGTGATCACAGCAGTTTGAACTTCAGGATTTGACATACTTTTAACTTCACAAAATCATCCTCAATTCCTTCTTTGATATTTTCTCCAATTCCCAGATCCTCAATTTTTCTTCTGCTTCTCCATTTTTTCTTTGATATTCATCTCAGCAATTGCAGCAAATGAGATTTCTCTTCTTTTAAAGCACTTCCATTTGAACCTCTTGAAGTAAACCTCACTGAACCATTCCCGGAATTTTGAATATTTGCCAGTCATACTCCCAGTGTCTTCCATCATTCCATGTAAAGGCCAACCACAGTCTTGGCATGTTTTGCATAGCTGTTTTGTACCTGTATAAATATAGGAAACATACACATGCTCTTCATCAGTCACTGCAAAATTTACTTGCAAAAAGACCATCACATCTCTAGTACACACCCATTTTCTCAAAGATTGAACCCCTTTCAACCCTTCACACAAGAATGCTGATGGGTCAAAAGAAATACACATTCTCAAGTAAGCTTCAAAGTTTGCTCCATCTGTCATTCTGTCTCCTGACAGAACTTATCCACTTCTTCTTGTAAGACCAAATGCAACAGACGTGGTAAGAAGCTGCCTGAAAATATAATGCAGAGTAGAATTCTTTTACAACAAATCTTATAACAATCATTTGTAACAAACTCTTTTTTCTTGGTCCTGACAGTTTCAGTGTTCCACATAGGCGTACATTATAAAATCTCATTTCAACAAATTCATTTCCAGCTATAATATACAGTTATACAGTAACATATTTTTGGTCATGATTCTGTGCATAGTCCATATAGGGACATTTTTTTATAAATGACAGAAAACTTGAAAAACAACTAAAAGGTGCATCACTTCAACTTCATGAAAGAATGACATTTCCTGCAGAGGAAACTTGGCATTCAAAAAAAGCAGAACATGACATATTTCCCCAAAATTCTCTAGCTTATTTGTTATAGAATGTATGCCTTTCTTTCAGATGAGCAGGACATTAGAAAAATGTTTCTTGATTTGAAGGAGCAGAATTATGAGTTAATAAGTTGATTCAGAAGGAGAGTATTTCTACAATTCTACCACATGTAATTTTGTTTTGACTCATTTTTTCAAGAAAAGCAAAACTTCAGTTCTAAGGCAGGTTTACTGAAAGGAAAGTTACACAGTATTTCTTTCTACATTTTTCCGAATTTAATCATAAACACTCATTAATTCTGATAGGTCTTGATCTATTTGTTTTGGAAGTACTTTTGAGAATTTATTGTTCATTTCCCACAAAATTTCAGTCTAAATGTGTTAAAATCAGAAATCTGAATGCAAGGAATTTTTTACCAGGTCCCCAGGAGTTTTTTGTGATAAGATTTTACTCCCTTTCCTACATGGGCCATATAAATACCCTATTGTGGGTATACTCACGCTTATCAATGTGACTTATGGGTGAAGAACCACCAAAGAAACAATCCTCACGGAATTTAATAAATTGGCTTTCCTTTATTTGTCTTCTCATCTTTTTCCCTCCTTGATTTCCAGGTTTATTGCTGTGATTCAGAAAACCACCAGAGGAATCACCCTGGAAGAAAGCCCGCATGACCATATTGTAATATATACCAGGTATAAATCTTGGCTGGAACAAAGAAAACAAGTTACCTTTCTATTATACTGAGCCTAGCCCAATACTCAGATTTTCAACAATTCCAAGAATCATTTCTAAAGTCAATTTTGAACAATGCTTTGATGGTTGGATTTATTGCATGAAAAAGTGTATTGAAATTGGCAGAGTACGCTGAAAAGCACTGAAGTGCTGCCAAATGATGGGGCTATGCTGGAAGTAAAAATTGTTTTTGGAATTGTTGAAACTCTGAACCAACCTTTGTACACTACCTTTTTTTTTATCCAGAATTATCAATTTTCCTCTTTCTCTCCTCCAATCCTTCTTCCAGATTTTTTTTAGCGTCATTTGAATTTGATGTACATGGTGTACAACACTTTCACAAAACAATCTCACATGTAAAATAAGATCTTCCAAGTCATCAGCACATCTCATGAACAGGCCAATTTCTTCTGTACATTCCTTATTGCCAAGGGTGTTCTGGGATATCAGAACACATGGGACTCCTTGTGTGTGAACCCACAACTGGTGCACACTGGGGAAAAAACTGATGTACATGGGCTATTCTAGGGTTACAAGCATGCACCTCTGTAGATGAAATTTTGCTACCATCCCAGGGCTACATTTGGTGCACAAATGTGACATAACAGGAGTATCACACAAATGCACCAACTGTAACCTTTGTGTAACTTCTTTGTTACAAATGTGACCCTGAGTAATCCTGGTGTGAACACACAATTGGTGCACATTAGGGATATGCATGTGCAGAAGAAGAACTTTGGTACACCTCAGGTGCACAGCAGGGCCACTGTGTGGAAATACATGCATATCCGAAGTGTGCACAATTTTTCCCACTTGGGCTGTCCCAGGATAAGATACAGGAATTCTCAACCAAATACACTTTCTCATCTTCACTTATGAGATTAGTGTTCAACGCCCAGTGGTAAATCTTTGAGGGAAAGTCTATCTGTGTAGAAGTGAAAACTCCTGGAGCACAGCGTCTTTCTACATCCCAGGTGCAGTTCTCAATCCATGATGAATAAGTCTCATTTGCATACATAACGCATCCAACATCAAAGAGAAAGTTGCATCGGAAGTCTCTCCAGTCATCATTTGGTCCTTCAAATAAAAAAATAACACATTATCACAATCACATCATAAGTTTGAAAAGTACTTGTCAGGATAAAATTATAATGTGCTGTGAGACCCCAAGATGCAGATGTAATTAATGCTAGGGCATTGTACCTATATATACGTCAGAACATCTGCATGTTGGATTGCATTTTTCCATGTACTCCAATGGGAACATGTTTAATAGATTCTCTTGCTCATCTAAAATTGTGAATAAATTCCCTCAAAAATTCAATAAAATTTGTTTCTCAATTTAAAGTTGCAGAATATAAATGTGAAAAAAACCCAAGGAGAATCTCTGCCATCAGAAGGACCCAAAAAAAGCAGAGAAAAAGTCAGTCTTGCTATGTACTGTACACATGAGGAGTATACTCAGAAAAATTAAGACATAATTTTTTTTTTATTAAAAATTTGAATAAATTTATATTAAAACTCATATGAAACTTTTGTGACTACAAATGGCTCAACTTCTTCAAGTTACCGTACATAAAAATTTTGAAAATTATACTTTTCTTCCTTTCTTCAGAAATAATGGAAAAGTGTCCCAAAGTTGAGACATTGTGTGGATTCTTGGCCAGTTTTTTTCAACTTGTTCCACAGTTCAACAATCCATATGTTGGGGTGTCTGCATTTTGGGGCCTCATGGTATTCAAAAATTTCAGAAAACTAACCATTGTAGTATACCTTTTTCTCAAGCAATAATGCATATATTTTGTGGTGGCCAGTCAAAGCCCACATTGTGAAGCGGGCAAACTGAATGACTGACTGTAAATCATCTGCCAAGTTGCAAATAGGTGGGGTTGTCAGCATGTTACCTAAAATAAGGAAATGCTGTACTGTATTTGCTTTCAAAGAGGAATGCTAGGAAATAGTTCATACCTTTTTCATCAAGTCCTGCAAATCTGTTCTACTCAGATGCTACCTCACTCAGGGATGCATGTCCATGATCTACAACATGAAGTTTTAATCCTTGGTTTTAATTGCAATTTTTGCAAAGAAAAGACTGACAATTTTATAGGGCAATTGGTGGCATGGTATGGAGTGGTACAGAAATGGACAATAACCAAAATAACTGGAAAATGAACAGTAAGTCATCAGAGGACAGTCAAAATCAACAGGAAAATGCAGGGAGCCATCTTGATTATACTGGTGAGCAATTCAGGGCAGAACAGTGACTCAAACTGAGTAACTTATTCATTCCTTGGTATTTATTCAGGTTCTATTGGGGTGCCATCTGGGCATGCAGATGTGGGCAGTCAGTTTGCAGGCAACAATTTCTGTGAGGTGCATGATGAGTTTTGCTTTGTTTATGAAGTAGACTTCTTTGAGAACTGTTTGGACTTGGATTGTGTGAAACATCATCATCTTATAAAGGTGATGGAGTACACACACAAATTAGCAAATTTCAGATTTCACACCTTTTGATTTTTCTAGAGGGTGGCTGTAATGGAGCCAACATTCTGCCGGGGCCAAATCAAAGGGATGGACAGAATTGTTCATCCATGCTGGAAGCTGTGCTTCTTTGCCTTCAAAAGTGAGTTCAGAAAGTCAGAAATTTGAATAAGAAATTATACTCAAATGTTTTTGTTCTCCATTCTTTTTAGAGAATGAAATCCACATCAACAGGAAGCAAATCAGGCAGGAGAAAATCCAGGAAGTGAAAACTACAGCAACCAGTCAAAGAAATTCTGACATCCTGGTGAAGCAGAAAAAGCTTTTGGAGAGGTTCCTGCTTCAGGAAAAGAAGATCACCATCCAATCTGCAGCCTCAACCACTACACCTGCACCAGCAGAGCCTGTTCTTGTGGTCAGCAATGGGTCTAGGGCTTCTTTTATAAGCTTAACACCTTTGGTCCCAATAGTTCCAGCTGACATAGCTGAAAACTTGGCTATGAAAAAGGTGCAGATGGACATCTTGCCAGAGCTAAAATGTGAGCCCACAAGTACATGCTTCTCCCCTTTCCCCTGTCCCACTCCCCATGCAGCTGCAGTCCCTCCCTTGTGCCCATGCTTGAGAGACTTCAGAAAGAGGAGTGCTCCTCATTAAAGCAAGAATAGTGTAGGAGTCATGTAGAGAACTCTTAAAATGCTCAATTTAGGGTTACATCCCTAACCTTGCAGAAATGTTCTGCAAGGTTAGGGATGTAACCCTACAGAACTTTACTGCAAGGTTAGGGCTGTAACCTTGTAAGTCAGTGCTTTGATGATTTATTTTTATGATTTTCTTGACCATCAAAAATCTTTGTGGCCAAGATAATATTGATTCCTGTGCTACATTAGTTTGCATTGATTTTTAGAATGTTCTTGACCCCTGATGTAGTGAGAACTAGTATACAGTCAACCCCCGAATAAAGTCCCGCCCGGTTAATGTTTTTTCGGTTAACATTCAGGATCTTGAAAAGGAAAATCCCCCCTGTTAACGTTCTGGAACTCGGTTAATGTTCTGCTGTTGTGCGGCACCAGGTGATGAATGTGGATGCCTCCCTCCCTTCCTTCCTTCACAGCTGCTCAAACTATGCTGCTCATAATCACTTCAACATTCAACTGCAATCACCTGAACAAAATTTCTTAAAACTGACTCTCAATAAATCTCCATCACAAATGAAAAACGTCAACCACCTACGAAATGGATCACTCAAGCCCAAAGAATTTGCGTCATTGAACCATGATGGAGACACGAGTGTTCGGGAGATAAAAAGTTATAAAACAGTCAAAAGCCAAAGGTCGGAGAGACGCTGAAGAGTTTCCGAAGTTTTAACAGAAATTAAAAAGATAACATGCGTATCTGGAATCTATCCAAAGACGGCCAGGAATGTAGAATGCCAACAGCAATACGTAAAATGCATCATCAAAATTCCAAGATATCAAATCCCGGCTTTGCGATAAAACACGTACTTGTCGACTTCCCTGACATTTCCAAGCTACAGCAGGACGTATATGAAATGGAACATACATTTTCCTTGTTCTACCTGAATGACATCTTGAGTCAGCCTTATCTCAGGAATGAGGAAAACAAGATCACCATTATGATTTGTTTTTGTGTGAATAACTTGCAACATCAGCAAATTGTTGTGACCTTGTCGAAACAAAAAAGCATAAAGCTCAGTTGTTGAAATACACTCTTTGATTAATTTTTTCTGATTTTTACCTCAAGAAAATTTTTCCTGGAACCAAATAAACGTTTTTCCCTTATTTCTTGAGGGAAATACACCCCCGGTTAACATTTTTTTCAGATAACATTTTTTTGCGAGGAACCAACTAAAAACATTAACTGGGGGTTGACTGTACTCTACATTTTAAAATCACATTGGGTCAATTCTTGTTCTGAAAAAGTTTGTTGGAGTTCATTTTACAAAGTTTCATTCCCCATAATATTTTGGACCAAATTTTCTAGGCTACTTGAGGATTCCAGTTTCCAAGAGAGGTTGGTCCAATATTGTTGGAGTGCTGTATGTGAAGGACTTGGTGCTGATGGACCCTGACAACAATATCCCTTGAAGATGCTATGCAATTTCTATCAAAATCACTGCTGTGATATGCTTCTTTGCATTTCATGATTTGTATTCAGACAGTTTAAAGGAGGTACAAGTAATTGTAAATTGACAAGTTATGTCCTGAATTTTGCATTGCTTGTGGAAATTATTTTTGTGAATAAGGTAATTGATGTAATGAATGCACCCAATTTTGACTGCCTTTTGCCTTTGGAATACCATTATTGTTTAAAAACTTGAACCCACTCACTGTTAATCAACTTTAAACCAGGTATTGTAAATCAAATTGGAACCACTTGTGTGATCTTGAGGTAAACTTTCCAAATATTAGTAAAAGAGGGCAATCCAATTTTATGCCATTTAAAGAACCACTTTGTATTACCTCTTTGGTGCTTCATCAACTCTATCAAAAAGCTCCATGCTAAACTTTATATATGTAAATTCTGCTCAGAGATTCTTGTGATTATGGTGTGAGTCATTGTGATATAGGTACTGTTCTATATTGAACTTTGCCCAAATTTTCCTCACAAATACAAAAATGTGCAGAAGTAGAAAGAATAAAAGACAAATATTCACAATCGTCTGGATACTGCGGTCATCTCAGCCTTCTCTTTATTTAGTTCACCAGCAAATCTTCATCACTCTGCAACTCAACAGCAGCCACAGTTTTGAAAGGAGACCTCCTTTGGAATGGGGAATCCTCCCACAGAATACTACGAGCATTGTAGACAGATGTCAACCATCCAGTTCCAAATGACTTGAAAGAGGGGGACATGCAGTTCATCTCCATGTACCTCCCCACAACAGTCTTCATATGAGTTTCATATGAATTTTTAATCTGTGGAAATACATAAGGGTATCAAGGAATATATAACTTCATGGTAACTTTCAATTATACCATACCCATGTCTTCACATCCATGTATACTTCATGGCCATTTCTGCTGAAAGCTGGCACCATTTCTGTGGCATTCTGGATATGCAATTCCAAATCAGGCCCTGTAAGCTGAGTTTTCTTTGCAGCTTCCTCTTTCATGATGAGTTCAAGAAGATTCATGAGGAATGTTCCTGAGGAGTGGCCTGAAAAAGTACATATGTCATCAAAATATAACAGCAGTGATGATAAACACATTATTCTCCACATACTCTTCTGTGTTTCAGAGGCAATATTTGTATGCTTTCCAAAAAGCAGTTGTTCACGAAATTCAATGAAGAAGCTTTTGTGCCTTGAAGTCCTTTTCACAAAGCAGGTAATCCCTCCAGCAGAATTGAATGGAAAGAAAGCACGCATGAGTAAGTTGTACACAATTCCACGACTCATGGGCTCCTGAAAAATACACATTTCAAGACCTTGGAATTTCACAAATGTTGTTACTGAGATATTACTCCTTGTTAGGAAATTGAAAGTAAAGAAATGGTACAACCAATTTGGTATGGTTTCAACCATGGTGCTTGAGAAGATGAGAACACCCTATCCTAAATTGGTTTATTTTCTTGAAAGTTGACAACAGGTTTGCCAAGTACTTGTAGAACTGCATGATATTGAGGTTCAAGAGACAGTTAAGTCCTTGAGTGGAATTTTTAGTTCTATGACCATTTTTTCTTTTGGGGATTTTCCATTGATTTAGGCATTGATTTCTTCATGTGCTTGTGTACGGTTACTGTTTTTTCCTTTTCAATGGATTTGGGAGATTCAAGGACCAAAGGTCCATTTCTGTTTGTTGTGAGAGCAGGGCTGAAACCCAATTCTCACAGAAATAACCAAGGAAAAGTTTCTGCAATTGTTGTCCCTTTTATGGCTCAGTCTTTTAAAATTGCTCTTTGGCACTATTTTCTTTGAAGATTAAGTTTCTTGGAAAGCTGACATGAAAAATTGCTTGGTTCTTTCAAACTGAGAAACTAAATTTGCAACAAATGTAGCAATAATATCACTCAAGAATAACATACCTTCTTAACATGGCTTGATGCCTTCTTCCTTAATAATGCACAGTCACCCCTTTCATGGTCCACCAGGACAGCCCTTGCAAACAGCTGTATTCTTCTGATCAAGTCACAAAGATCATCACACCTCAGGAAAAGGCCTCCAAGTTTACCATACTTCAGAGCTCCTGTTCCAACCAGAACACAAGGTACCTCATTTTCCTGTGTAGAAAGACAGTAAACACTCAGAAAAAATTCTCCAGATACATACATTCACTAGCTCCAACATTTATGCACATACCGCACCCAAAGATATGTTGATAACTTCTTCAACTGCAAATGACAAACTTGAAGATGTACCCCTGTATTCCTTTGGGAAGCGGATTTGCTCTGAAGTAAGCACACCAGGTACACAATGTTGTGGAACTTGCCAGGAGGGATCAGTGTTTCTTTGTGCTCTTTTGAAGCTTTCTCGAACAAAACCTTCATCAAAAACAAAAGAGCACTTTGATCCTCTCCAATCATCATGTGGCCCTGGGAAACAAATGAAAGTATCAATAGGTACCAAATCATCAGCATGATACAGTAGAATCTCATTACAACATACTCCCAGGGACCAGAAAAAATTGTTATAACAAAAAATTGTTATATTGAGATCTATGTACTTATTTGCAGGAACAACACTTCAACATGTGAACAAGCAAATGCTTTTGGAACTTAGAAACATGATCCTTTCACTAAAATAATAAAACATTTTCAAGAAATTTAACATTTTAAAATAAAACTCCACACTAAAGAGCATTAGAATGAAATTCATAGATTTTGGTGGCTCTTGGAGGCTCAGCTCCAAGTTTGCAATATGCTTACAGACTCCTTAGAAAATAGATAAATTAATCAGGGTACCTTTATTTCATGAGCTTCCTGCTGTACATTAAGGTAACCAATTTTTAGCTTCCTGTTTTTATAACTCTGAGAGAAAGACATATCCTGTCCACAATATACTGATGAGCCCCAAGGAACAGGGCATTGTACAAACATTTAGGGAAGAAAAATTCAAAAATCAAAGCCAAAATTGAAAAATTATGGGACATTATCAAGAATTGGGGACAAAATTTTGTTGTAACCATCAGCAGAGCTGGTACAAAATAAATTTGTTAGAACAAGATTAATTTAAACTTCACCATAAGAGTAACTGCCAGGACTTGAAAAAAAAGTGTTGTAGTCAAAAATTTGTTATAATGAGATTTGTTGTAATGAGATTCTACTGTATAGCATTTGGAAATGTAACAGGTAACATCCCAAGAATTTGAAACCCTTTGTACATGACATTACATATATCATACACATTTCAAATGTGGAAGGAGGCATATAGAGTATCATTCATTGGTATAATAATAAATTCCCCTTGGTTCAAAGATTCCATTTTGTTATAAATGCATCAATAATTTCCATTGCTCAAGTATAGAAGTAATCATTTGAAATTTTGGTTGCTTGGAAATGTTACTCACCATTATAATCTGGCGACTTCCCAATGAGAAGATTGTACATGTTTGTGTGATCCTTCATGGCCCAAATCATGAACTTTGCAAATTGTACAACAGCTTCCTTACTTTCATTCAGGTAGCATGACGGCGGCTTTTCAAGAAGGTTTCCTGTACAAGTTCAAAGTAGTATTCACAAATTGTGATTGAGGAAACTTCACTCATTAGGCATCAAGTACATACCTTCATTATTTTTCTCAGCAAACTTGGAGAATAATTCTGATATCTCATCCAGAACAGGGCCACCAGCATCAGCCCCAGCACTTGGGGATATTTGAGTTGAAGTATCAACAGCAGCAGCAGCAGCAACAGCATGGGGAGTGAAATGTACCTCACCTCCATCTTGCGTTGTAGGGGCCTGCTGTGTCACAAAGTCATCAACACCCTGGAAAATTCAATCCTTATCCAGATTAAATTTGCATCATGATGTACATGTCATAAGCACAGAAACATACACTGTTTCATGGATGCATTACAAGACACAATACAATTTTTAGAATAATCCATGACAACATTCATAATGCATAATACAATTCAACTCCTAACTTGAAGCAAACAAATCAAGTTTGTATTCCATGATGTACCCACTTGCAATTCCTCATTGGAACGGCATTCATGAACCCGTGGCTTCTTCACTTGTCTTTCCTTCCGAGAATCATCAACCCGATACTTTTCAATTCCTACCTGCAGAATTGAAAAAAAACCATCGAAGTTATAAATTTAAATAATTGCATTTTTCTTCAAACATATACAGTACTCTGTTCCTCTTTAGCCTCAACGATTTTCTGCTTGTACTGGTTTGTTGAAGCTCCTCTCCAAAATGGTCTTCCTGTCTAGTACCTGTGGTATGTTGACCTTCTCCATTCAAGTTGTCTCCATTTTGTTGAGGGAGCGTTTCTGTTGTCTTGACAAAATAATGATGAAAATTCATAAAATGACAAATGAATGCGAAGGAAGCTACTTACCTGCCCATCACGAAAATTTCTGACACATGCAGCAGCACACTCAGCTTTTTCAACAAATGCAACATCATGGGTCTTGTGCTTACAGATGAAGTCTGTTAAAGCCAAAACACAACTGCATCTTGCACATGTGTCTGTATCTGTTCCTTGTGAGTAAAGGATATGCAGCAATAACCTCAACAAGTCTGAGCTTTCATAAAGCCTGTTGAAGTAGATAAAGTTGACCAGTTCTGTTCCTTTTGAACATCCCCTGCAATCTCCAGTCTGGGTGCTTGAGTCTGTGGATTGAAGAATTTCACAGAAGAATGAAATGACCAGCATTGCTAATACAGGACAAAAACTTAGAACAGATCAGTCTCCCTGAGTCAAAAATCTTTCTAATGCAAAGCTTCAGCAAATCCCTGGCAAATGAATTTTAAACCTTGCTAACTCACACCTCATTGGCTCTAATCTCCATCATTAGAATTTCCATTGCCTTTGCACTATTAACCTAGGGTCAAATTTCAGGACACCTAGTCCAGAAAAATATGCACACTTTCACTTCAATACTCTTCACAAGGAATTCAGCAACTTCCTGCAAGGAAAAAGTCAGAATGAAAACACAGCTTTGCCAGAAAATAATTTAGAGTGATCAACCTTCACAAATAAGGCCACATTCCTCATCAACTCAAAAGTTTCAACTTACTTATAACAAGTCCCTTCAAAATTGGCTACAATAAGAGCTTTAACTGTATTGATGTGTAAAAAATTCCGAAGTTAAAAAATCAAGATATAACACAGTTGCAAAAACAATTTAGTTTCTAATCCTGTTTGTCCATTGTGCAATTGGGTCCTGCATGCGGTGGGAGACTTCCATTTTGAAAAATTGAAAAGTTTGCAAGGAATAGTATCTTGAACATTCAATGAGGTACTTTATTGCAAAGTATAGCCCTGGAAGTACAACAAAATACAGTGAGACCCCCACATGCGGACACCTCAACATGAGGACAATTTGACACAGAGACATTTATTTTTCAATCAAAAAGGCATAAAAAAGGCCAAACATATGGACACTGACTCAACATGCAGACATTGCATGATAAAAGTGCCAGTAAATTTCAGGAAACTTGACTTTTATTTGGCTTGATTGCAAGAAACAGATATTTCCAACCCTAAAATTTATGCAAGAAAAATTATTTGGTATTTCCCCCATCAGTTTCCCATCCATTCAGCTAATTTAAAAAATCACCTATTGTATAGAGGGACTTCCTTCTCTCTTTGTGACTTGAATGTTATTTTTAGAGATGCCAACATTTCAATTTACAGTACAGAGATACACTATTCAATGCTCCAAATGTTCTTATTGAGTTGAAGATATATTCACTGAATCAAATTCAAGCAGCAAACAATTTTTTTCACTGAATTCTGAAGAATATTTCTTCCATAAAACACAAATAAAAAATTAAATAATGTAAGTCTATGGGAAAACAAGACTTGATTTAGGGACAGTTCAACTCAGGGACACTCTTGATGCACCAACTGGGTCCACATGTGGGGGTCTCACTGTACGTTACTTCTGAGAAGCATGAAAAACAACAACACACCTTCCTTCTGAACACCTCTTATGCTCCTGCTTTGGTGGCAAAAACAAACGCGTTCTTCTGTGGATTCTACCTCAATCTTGATAATGTCCACGGCTTCTGCAACTAAAAGCAATGCCTTTTTCTCTAGCTCATCTGAAAACGAAAAAAAAGCACGTCATCTACAGTGCTCCAATAAGAAAGTTGTATACTCTCACTTACCAAGTCCATCCGCAACATCAACAGCAGTTGTGTTCTCCATGTTTAATGCAATACTGTACTTCTGCACTCAAGAGAGAATCAACAGATCAACTTCACCACTATTGTCACTCTCATTCTTGTGGAGTACCAATACTTCAGTTCTGAAACACCTAGAACAAGATTATTGTATGCATGCTCCTTTTTTTTGATTATCACACAATATTCACTCCAGGCACGATAAATTTGATGCGGTACATCATCCTGACGAGAATTATTTTGAATAGCCTCGACAATGTTCTGAAAACCCTAGAAAAGATTAGATTTGATTAAATCAATTTCCCGATACCAGAAAAAAATTCCGATTTTTACAGCCATCTTTTTCAAATGACTGATTTTTCAGGGTTTCAACAATTGATCAAAACAAAGATTTTACTCTTGTATGTAAGCAAATCAATTCATGCGCTACGAAGTTTACATCAAGTTCACAAACACAAATATTTTTGAGAGCAATAAATGCATCATCTCTTAAAAATTTGTCGAATATTCGTGAGGGGATACCACATGCATCATCACAGATTCTAAAGGTACATGACAGAAAATAATCAAATTTCCAGAAACTCTGCGGATTGGTTTACAAAGACATTTTTTTATCATCAAGTACGCAATAAAAAATTTTTCTTTCAGTCACAAAATTGTATGTCTTGATCAAAATTTATCATTTCCGAAAGCTTTCCAATGAACATTTTCTGTAGCCTACCAGTTACAAATATCCTGAAATCGGTTGATCAGGCGTAGAAAAAAAAATTATCAGAAGATTAATCACGAAATCGGCAAAATTTCAAGGAACAACAATTTCGTGATCTTCGCTTTTGACGGGAGGCATATGGAACCGAATAACCTAATTGAATTTTTCCTTCAGTGTACATCAGTTTTAACGCGTGAATCACCCTTTCTTCAAATTGAAAGCACACGAATTTAAACTTTTGGTTAGGTAAGGTGTAATTCTCAACCATCGCACAATATGAACAACCTCATTACCTCACGCATTCCGCAACAACAGGAAAAAAAAGAGGCAGAAAACCCTCCCGACACGTTCTCAAAAAAAACTGAAAAAAATTAAAAATAAACCAGACATCGAAATCGCTTTGAAATAATAAAAAAAAAGCACACTAGCACTTCAGCCTCACTTCAGTCAAGCCACCTGAATTCAGTTTTCTTTTTCTTTTTCAAAGGAACCAAAAAAAAGTCAAAAGTTTCTTCTTCGCATCGACAAAGTGGTGGTGGGGTTCATCAGCAATTACAGTTGTCGTTGACCATCTTCACCATACCTCGACTCCGACAACAACCGGTTCTCGACAAATAAGTTTTCAGATCCTGAATGTCGCCAACTTTCCATTGATGTGGCCCAGTCGAAGATAAACGTCAGTGCCGTGTCCTTGCATTGAAACGACCGACAATGAGCCCCCCAAGTATTCCGCATATGCTCTACTCGTCGGCAAACCGAATCCGAAACTGAAAAATTTTCAAAGAGAAGCAACAGTATGAGGAATTCAGTCAAGGAGAGGTCAGCAGTTTCGTCAGATGAAAATAATATACAAGTTGTGCAACATTGCTTTGAATATCTGAGAAAAATTTAGAAGTTTCAATAAATGTGGATCTCGGACAGCTAGAACATGGTTTAAAAAACCAGTAACACAAATCAGAGGCCAAAAACAAAAGTTTGTTAGCTGAAAAGTTCGTAAGCTGGGGCTTTTGAAAGCCGAGACCCCACTGTACATGGTGTTTTCATTACAATGAAAAATTTGTGACAAAAGCACACCTAAATCTCCAGTCAAACCCCGTGACGACGCCAACCATCAATTTTGTTTTGTGAATTAAATACAAAAGATGATGACTGCATTGGAAAACCCGTCAAAACCCCATCTGCCAAAATTATTGGCAACTCAAATGTGTTCCTGCCGATTATCTTCAATAGCTCGCCAACATAATTCAATTGTTTGTGAGGGGTCTCCAATAAAAAAAAAGAGGAAAGAAACACACACAAAAGGTTACATACAGTGAGACCCCAAGATTCGGACGTAATTGGTGCATCAAGAGTCTCCCTGAGTCAAAATGTCCCTAAGTTGAGTCTTGCTTTCCCATAAACTTACATTATATAATTTTTAATTGGTGTTTTGTGGAAGAAATATTCGACAGTTCCCTGAAAAAAATTGTTTGCAACATGAATTTGAATTAGTGAATACTTTTTCAACTCAATAAGAACATTTGGAGCATTGAATAGTGTATCTCTGTATTGTACACTGAAATTTTGGCATCTAAAAAAATAACATTCAAGTGAAAAAAGTAGAAGTCCCTCTATACTGGAGGTAACTTTTTTTTAATTAGCTAAATGGATGGTAATTTGGTGGGAGAAATGCCCAAGAACTTTACTTGCATCACTTTCAGGGTTGGAAATACTGTATCTGATTCTTGTAATTGGGCTGGAAATGTATTTGCAATTTTATCACAAAATGTCCCTATGTCAAGTCAGTGTCCCCATGTTTGGGCCATTTTTATTAATTTTTTCCGGGAAAATAAGTGTCCCTATGTCAAATTGTCCTCAGGTCGAGGCATCCGCATGTGGGGGTCTCACTATAATTTAATTCTTGGAAACATTACCTAGATATGATTTACGCATCCAGGATTTTTTCTATTGTTTTCTAGAATAATAAGAACTTTATCTCCTATTACGGTACACTTGATTTTCGTATCATTTTTACGCTTTTTCGATAAACCACCAACCTTCATTAAACTGGCACAAACCTAAAAAAAAAACAATGGCCGCGGCTCATCGACATTTGACTGTGGATATTCTACATTAGAACCCTTAACGTACCCATGCATAGGACCTCGAGTCATGCCGGGATTCACAGAATCCATCATGGTCTGAAACAGAGGCTTATCGGCATCCGGATCTTCGTCATGCGCTGTTGAAAAGTTGTACATCATGACTTTATCCTGCAGCTCGTGAGGTATTCCACCTCCCAGATCGGAAATTCTACAGAAAAACAAAGCTCGTCATCACTCACTTTCCGAAAAAGGGAAAAATTCAAGAATTGGGAAAGATTTGTGAAGCCAACCTGATGATGAAATCCAAGTTGTTGTTTGCCAATGTGATCAAGATTGGCGGAATGTCCTCATCACAACTGCCAGGATTGTTCTCGATCGTTGCTCTGAAAGATATTTCGAAAAAAAAACCACATTCATTTTTTCAATTAACCTCTTCTGTTGATTTCACTGAAATATTTTACGTTTTCAAGATTTCAACAAACAAGAAACATCAAAATGCCCCATGAGACAAAATTCAATTCCCACCCAACTTTCTTAGTTTTACAAGAACACGGATTTATTCAAAAACTGATATTCGGTTGAAAAACTTTTCATTCCACAGTTTTTTTCAAACTTTTTTACATCAGTTTTCTTGAAAAAAGCGACATAAAAAAACTCAGAAAAATAATGCACTACACTACAGTATAATGATTAAATGCATTTTTTCCTTTGCAAAGTATACAATCACAGTTTAATAAATTTGGATAAATTCTTGCTTTGTTAAGAGAAAAATGTGGATTTTAATGTTTAGAAGTTTTTTTCATCACTTTCAAGTCTTTCTCTCTCTTGTTTCAGCGCAACACTGATTTCATCTTGAGAAAAGTACTGTACTGTCATTTTTTCTCTGCTCACACACACTGCAGAAATTCATCCCTTGATATGGAGAACAGTTTTCTTCCTAAAGAGATGTATTCAAGCATCCAAAGCCTAAAAAGATGACAGATTTTTTTGCAGGGCTTGTCAAGTCCCAAAGCAACACAGCTGCTGCAACCAGCCAAGAAAACTTGTTGCATCTCAAGGCCAGTGAGCCTTGCCAAAATCCAATTTTTGCAAGACTCACTGAGGCTCACCCAAGGCCAAAAAGTGGTCATAACTTCCTTGATTTTTCAACAATTGGCCAATCCTAAGCCAGGAAGAAATCAGGTGATTTCTTCCTGACCCGGTCTGAGCACCTAGGTATAAAAGCCTTTATTCCTCTTTGAGAGGAGAAGTGAGAATCTTGTATTGAAGGGCCTTTCAACTTAAATTATCTGATCACTCTTCTGAGCTAACCAACAAATCTTAAAATTGACTCTGCCAACCCAAACATCCATTTCATTAACAGCCAAATGACAATCTGGGCAATTAAGATGAACTCCTCTGAAAAGAGTTTGAGTTCTTATTCAAAACTTGCATTCTGGTGGCTGCACATTTCAATTCCTTTGTCTGGGATCCAATGAACCCATGACAGGGCTCTCAATTAAAAAAATAAAGAGCAAATCATTTTTTAAAAAGCTGTAAATCTTGCAGCGTTCTTGAGCAGTTCAGGCAAAATAAAGACAAAAATGATGACAGAAATTTGTTGCAGGGCTCTCAATTAAAAAATAAAGAGCAAATAATTTAAACCTTGCAGCATTCTTGAGCAGTTCAGGCAGGATATAATCCAACGGTATAGGTATATACGGGAAAACGGCATTCACGTTCCCCACAATCTTGAAAGTCGGCTTTTTGGTATACTTGTGCTGACACATTCGCTGAACAAACTCGCACCACTTGACAATCAGACTCTGCGGTCGCATGGCTGTGTTGATGATTCCAATATGGTCTTGAACTCGTTTCTCGTCACGAAGGGCCAAATGATGCATTGCTAGCATCCGGATTCCCAGACGCGAGGTCAGGGTTCTGTCCAAGAAAACTCTCACCAAGTCTTGACTCTGAAAAATAAAATTAAATACAGCATAAAATGATTTTGTTTGCCTCAAACACATGAGGATTCTGCCTAAATCATCTTGCACATGATGATACGCCATAAACAAAAGTTCTTCATCAGACTTCCTATTTTCTTCTCTCCGCTCCATCAACAGTTTTTTTTTTTCAAAGCACTTCCTTTTGGGAAAACATGGAGAACCTTCAGAATCAGCAATGGTCATAACTTAAAGCTTCACAGTTAGATGTTCCTTTGCTACTTCTTGAAAGGAGAATGTATGTGAAGTACGTGAAGGTTAAGAAAGGAAAACAATGATCGAAATTTCCACATCCCCAACCTCGTCTCAAAATGCCCCTCTATCTCTAATCTTAGCTTTCTATAATTGTCCCTAATCCAAGTTGCTCACTCCCAAATTTTCCATATACCGTTGAAAATACATAAGTAAAATTCCGGAATGAAAAGAAATGTTTCCTCGAACTGAAGGACATTAAATAAAAAATTTAGGAAAAAACTATACGAAAATCTAAAAAGGATTTTCTGTGAGTTTGAAATTTTCGAGACGTTTTTTGCAGCAATATTCATTCAAATATTCAGTCAACAGAGTTTCTTGAGCACAGCAGATTGGATATGATACAAATATAAATACTCGTATATAAATATATAAACAGTATTGAAAAAAAACGATGAAAGCTTTTTCAACACCTACGCAGTAACTTGCGAAAAAAGCTTGTTGTCCGGTTTCCAAAAATTAAATAAAATTTGACAACGTGTCTTGTCGCCTTCCTTGTTAACTTTAACTTTGGAAACCTTCCTACTGTTATACGTTTAAGTTCTCTCCTTGATGTCCGGGAAACTTCTTTAAGTGTCCAATATTCAGCCTTTGAATAAGTATAGAGTCCGTATATCTTCAACAGATATATTTCTATCAACGTACTCGTCTATTCAGCCTTTGAATAAGTATAGAGTCCGTATATCTTCAACAGATATATTTCTATCAACGTACTTGTCTCCTTACGAGGTTGCATACAACACTGAACTCGCGCAGGCAAAAAAAATGATTTATATAAACTTTGATCCGTATTTTGACCGACGGAATAAAGAACAAGGAAAAGAGCTTCTATCTTCAAGAGAGATCTGGTCAGCAACAGGGTTTCGGGGCGGAGAGGATCATTTGGTTTTATAATGAAGTAGATCTCAATATGGGCAAGGATAAGAGTTGATGTCGCTGTCGAGGCATCTCGGGAGGCAGAGAGAATATTAAACATCGGGAATATAATATTACTTTGTTGCAAAGTAATCAATGTATCAAAGGATCACCTGAAAGTTTTGCTTCGGGGTACTTCCCAAGTATTGTCATATTTTGTCACACTGATAACAAAGTATTATGTGTTGTAACAATATGGTAAGTGGGGGGGGGGGGTGATTCATATACACTATCTTCAATATTTGAACACAAAAACAGCCTGTTGGCTAATAAATGAGGTTTATAATTTGTTATATTCTTTTGAAATGTTAATTTTGTACAAGCATAATCCAAAGCATTGAAAGAGTCACTTTGAGTGTTTTGGTAAATGCCAGATATGCAAATGAACTTTTTTCTCATACCTGTCTGATGCTCCTTCAAACAGAGAAGAATATCTTCTAGGACACTGTTTACTTGAAAGAAAGGCATACAATTTGGAATGTAGCTAAAAAATTTCCAAAAAAATATGTGATGTACATTTTTTGAACACCTAACTTTCTCTAAAAAATCCAGTCTTTCAAGAAATTGGAACGCTTCACCTTTTCATTTTTTATCTCATTCCTTCCGCGATTTATGGAATAATTGTTATAGTCTATGCACAGTTTCAAGCCCAAAATATTGTTATAATCAGACAACCGCCTAAAATGTGTTCATTACAATGAGATTTCTATAACATGACGCCTATGGAGAAACTGCCAGGACTAAGAAAAATGCATGATCAGAAAAAAGTATTGTAATGAGATTCATTGAGGTGGAATCTTACCATATACTGTATATATGTGATTGAATTCTATAGCCTGAGATTTCCTTTGTTCTCTACAAATTATATTTTTAATTGTGTTGAGAAAATTGATTTATATGATATCTTTTTAATTTTTAAATACACAATTCCTTTTTGCAATGGAAAAATTAGACCCATTTTTTTGTGCAAAATCTGGCCAACATGGGGTTTAAGCCGGCCCTTGCCAAAGTTCCTAGATGTACTGAAAATTTTCACTTTTAAACAATTTCGATATCAACTGGAGGAATTTAGCTATTCATGTTCACAGTAAAATCCAATAACGCTCATTATAAATGCCACATTCGTCAGGATCAGAATTGGGCTGGGGTTTTTCTGGAAAACCGATGATAAGCAAATCTGCGACGACGCCACGCGGTGGCTTCCCAAAGTAAAGAAAGGCTACTTATTTCTCTTCCCACAGATGTCGCAGTATCTTCAGTATTTAACAACTCATGGCGGCGAAAAGTTGTGCGCTATTCCGCAGTGGATCTTTGTAAATTTCGGACTGTCCTAACACAGCATGGCTTGTCCAGCAATCATTTGTAGCAACTCATCATCGAAAAAGGTGCGAAAAGTAAATTAATGAACTTGCACCTCCCTTACACATAAACCTCATAATTGCCTAATTTTTCGAAATAAAGGTGTATGTGAAACTCTCGCGAATGCATTCGCGAGACAATAAATTAAATTACAATAAATTTCAAGGAAAAGTTTTTTTTGTAGTGGTGCCCCAAGTTGTGAACATAATTGGTGCTCTGGCCGTGTCTCAATTTTCGAGCAAGAACAGAGAATAAAAAACAAGAAAACCTGTTCTTGATAAATTCCCCATCCCAAGAGATGGCAAACAAGAAGAACGCACTGGTTTGGGTGGAAAAAGGTCTCACCCTCTCATTCTGCCAGCGGATCGATAAGACTTTCCCTCTGCGAGACCCGGTTTCCCGGGACACAAACGGACATGCGCCATTTTATTTTCGCAATCTTTTGCGTTGCACTGCATTCTGAGAGGCGTCTTTGAAGGACTTGAGCAAGAGTTCCGACAGTAGCCTTGAGGTGTTTTCTCACTTTACTGCTATCCTCTGCTGGCTGTGCTTTCAATAAATAACTCTGCAAAGGCTAATTACATTTGGTCAGTGTGCTGATGATGGTGTTTGAAATTTTGTGAGACCTGCACCATTATTCCAGCAGTGAATCCCAGTTTGCTTCAAAATGAGATTTAGAAAAAATTATGGGAATAATATGTAATAATAATATTATTATTCATCTGGAAACCGAAATTGTACAAATATAAGTGAACTTTCTTAGCAAGAAAATTTCAAGGGACCCTAAAAAATCCATTTGGATATAAATTTCTGTTGATGAGAACCCCTAGAACATGGGGAAAGAACCCAATTGTTGGGTCAGTATTTGACAAGGTGTTGGAAAATTTGAACCAGGAAGAAATCATGCCAGTCAGCCATTGCCCATTAGGCAGCCATGTCCTCCTTAACCCTTCTGCAGCAGAGTTGGCCTTTTTCATAGATTTTGGGAGCACTCAAGAATTAAATTTTAAAAACCATGACCTTATGTGCAGGGCAAAGTCTGGAAAAATCTGGCATTTTTAAAATTTTCCTTAGAAAAATTTTATTCAGAAATAAATAAATTGCATCTTCAAAGCCCATTTCTTTCCTTGCCTTGTGTTGTTCCCCTATTCAAAGATTAAATTCAAGCTTGAAAGCCAGGAGCCCAGGTCAGAGGTCATTATGGATAAATTCTGACTTACAACTATTATCGGAACATTTCTTTATTCCTGAATAAAATCTGACTTTGCCCTTTGCCACCTGGCAGGGGTTGCATAACCAAGGGTAGAAATGAAATGCAGGCCAAAATAAAAACTCCAACTTTGCCCTGGGATGGAAAGGAGGCTGCCACCATCCAAGGTGTCAGGCCCACAAGGGCAAATGAATTCCCAGGCCATGTCCTTGACACATTGCAGAAGTTCTGCTGCACAACCAGTTTGCCATAATGCTGTAAACTGATGGCCTCAAACAGAACTTGGGGATTTTTAGTAGCAGAGCAAGGATCAGGAACTGGCACAGAAACTTCACCTGAAGTTTTCACCTGCAGTAGGAAGGACTGAGGATTTTCTCCTGGACAATTTGTGACTGTTTTACTATGTGTGGATATGATATTTCCTGAATGCTTTGTGCAGCAATTTGTATTACTGCATCTGTGCCTGTGCTCTCCAGTATTTGTGCTAAGAATAAATTGGGGCTTTACAGGGAGTCCAAAAGGGAGGATCTGGCTGCCAAACAGCTGACTGATGTATTTTCTTTTCCTGTCACTTTGTTGCTCTCTCAGCCCCAACACAAGGGTTTTAAGAAAGGCCCACCAGAACCTTGGTTTATTCCCTGCAAGATGTAAGGATGAGTGTAGACACAGCAAGCTGGTACAAGCAGACAGACAATACACTTATAACTACAGGAAAAATGACAAACAGTCCAGCATACAAGGCACCTCTTTGTCAACGCACACCACAGAGCCTAGATCCTTTCTACTGCAGCTGAGCAATTTTTTGAATCCTTCCCTGCCTACTGAAGCTTCTTCTTTTCTTGAATTCTTGTATTGCCACTGGTTTTCTGCAATAATTTAAACTGTTGACATAAAAAAAGAGAATGGGAGAACATTTTTTATCCAGAGAAAATCATTGTATTCATTATCTAATCCACTGTCTTATTTGCACATTTTTCCAGTATTTGCTTACATGGAGGGAAATGAGACATATGGAAGCAACATACAGTATCCCCATATGGAAGTTCACACACCCCAGCGGTGTTAAGGTTTATCTACCGTACTCCAATGCCATTATAAACCTTGGTCTTACACTGAAAAAAAAACGTTTTGAACATATTAAAGAATATTTTCAGGTTTATTTTGTGGAAGTTCTATTTGTGGATAATACAAGTCATATTACATTCACCTCTGAGAGACCATAAATATTTTTTGCCAGTTTTTTATCCACACAGTATTGACATTCTCATTTATGATCAGCATACACATCTAACCTCAATTGAAAAATAATCATATTGAACCTGAATTTATTTTATAGATGAAGATACCGTAAAATGTCTCAAAGTTTGACTGCAGAAAA